TAGCAGAACGAAAACGATTTTGCAATCGTTCCCAAATCTCAAAGGAGTGTTTAAGTTCATGGACATCAATTAATACATCACGAGTAAGAGTAGCAAAAATCCAAGAACGAATAGTTTGATCAAGCCTTAGCCAGTGAGAATATTCAGTATTAATGATTTGATGATTATTAAAATCAACCGTGTACATCGGAGGTACCTGTGTGGAACCATCCAAGAACCCAAAAACCCCTTGAGAGACTAGGAAGAATTGAAATTGAGTGCACCATGTAATGTAGTCTTCTACCGCCTTAAGCTTGATTGTAACAATTTGAGTAACATTGTTAGCCGGAACAATAGTTTGAGCAACTGCAGCCATCGGGGAGTGAAACAGGGACTGTTCTAGCGGCTTGGACAGTCCAGGTGTGCCAGAAAACGTAGAACCAAAATAGCCCGGGCTAGAGAGCGGCGGAGGCGTGACAGGTGGCGGTATAGGGGAGGTCCGACCTGGAACATGGTTTATGACATTCGTCTGCCATGGGAAAACGGAGGTATATTCTGGAACAAGGAATATGCTCCTGGAACGTCTGCAACGTAGGAAGAAGAGGCTGGTTGCACTACCGGACTGGACTGAACGGCGGTCACCTGCTGCTGCGCTGGCTGGCTTATGGCGGCGCTGGTGACACCTACGGCCGCAGCGGTTGAGACAGAGGAAACCGGCGCCGTAGTTGAAGAAGGAGAAGTGATGGTGGAACCCGCCATGGAGGAGAAGGAGATGGCGGCATCCATATGCAAGGCGGCGGCAGATGAATTTTCAGCCGAGCTCATATCGTGAGGGTTTAGAGGAGAGAGGAAAAATTAGGCTCTTGATACCATGTGAAATAATGGGAAAGGTTACCCAATAGGGTACCTGACAGATATATTTATACTAATAAAAGTTTCCAAAGATACAAAGAATTCCTAATTTAATATTAGGCTATTATTAAACACATACTTTGCTCATTATAGATGCCGGTCCCGTAATATTTCAAATGTTACGTGCATTTCATATACTTGATGTCATTGCCCACTTTATATTGTTGTATATCAAATTGATAGCAACAATGAAGATAAATCATTTGAGGAGTACTAATATATATTTGGAGAACAGTAGAAGAAAATGACTAATCAATATTATTTGAAAGTAATAATAATAAATATTATATACTAAAATGAAAGGTAAATGAAATTCAGGTTGTAAAAAAATTAACATTAAAACAATAACTATGCATATTTATAAAAAACGGAGTACACCAATTCAATAACACACACTTTTTAGAATATCTCAATACTTAAAATATTTAAAAACTTAATTATTCTATTATACTCCTTAATAAGTAGAAATAAAATTATATACTTCTATCATAAACTACTAAATGTATCTTTTGAAAGTTAATAATGTTTCAGACCAATCGGGACATCGATCACTTATCTATTGACATAAAGTTTCATCCTAAATGATTCACTTGATAATTAAGAAGAGTGGTGCAAGACCTTTTAGATTATTTTTCACATTTTCAACTGGTCTAATAAGGTGACTTGTATTCTGTGTACTCATTGTTGAGTGTTTGATGGATTGGTTACTCATTTGAGCTCAAGTGACTCTCATATTTATTTGTATCTTGACTGAGTGACCTTATGGGCCGGGATGTCTTGCATTATGATATATACAATTATTAAAATACTTTTACATACATTTTAATAGAAGAGATTGCTAAATATAGGGGGGAAATATGGATGAAGTTCCAAAATAGCAGTACTTTTTTTATTCCTAAAATAAGATTTCTTTAGTCCTATTAGAAAGAAAAACAATAAAAAAATTCAGGAGCGAATGAGTCTTATTATTTTAGAAAGAAAGATGATACATCACTATGTTGCTCCAATTCTTTCAAACACCTCGTGGTTCGATGTCATCACTATGATACTCCAAGGAGGTGGTCATCAGTTCAAAACTCATATCAATTAAAGATATGATGTTGACATTTAAGAGAGCAGATACTATAATATGTGAGAAAAAACATTGTTCCTATTCTATTATTTTCTCTAAACAATGTAAGTTACAACTCACCGAGATAGGAGTGAAAACAATGATAGTTTCCATAATATGAATGTTATGTTTTTCTTTAAATTGGAGTAAATTACCTATATCCTAATAAAACATCTTTTGACATTATCACAATTAATATGACAATATTAATGTCGATCATAATTGTCGTTATTTTCATTTAATTACTCCTACTTAGAGAAAACATAATATCACTATTTTAGAATTTCACATTTCACTTTTCACATTGTGTTTCCTCCTATTTAATTAGGACAATTTCTAATGTAAGTTTCATATATATTGTCTATATTTGAGATGAAGACATGAACCATCATATAAAAATCAAGGGCTCTTTATTTTTCTTTTCATTTTTCACTTTTTTTAAATATTAAAGTGATTGAAATATGTAGTATATACGGAGTATGTTATATGAAGATGCAAAAAAATATAAAAAAATTATAATAATTATTTTTGTTCTTAAATTTATCAATAAATTATGAAATAGTTTTTAGACTTTTATTTCAAATGTTGAAAACCATAAGTTAGAGAACAATATCGAGCAATGTCACAAAAAATATAAATGTCACGAGTTGTATTGTAGGAAGCCTACACATTGTATGTACAATACTACTACCTCCGGTTTTTTTTAATCTTCACAGTTTGACTTCACACAAAATAAGGAAAGAAATTTGACTTTACTGTAGAGTACACTGTTGAGGCACTGTTTGACACTGTTTGGCACTGTAGAGACACTGTTGAGACACTGTTTGGCACTGTTTTGATGTAGATTTTTTTGCCAAAAAAGGAAATAAAGAAGTGTGAAGTTTATTTTAGACCGTCCCGAAAAGGAAAGTGTGAAGTTTATTAAAAACCGGAGGGAGTATATTTTAGCCTTACTATGCACAAAGCAAAATTTAATAGCATATTTATAATTTTTCTAATTATCAAGTACTTTGAATGATTTTACTTATAAGTTTTGGAGTTAAAAAGCTTTCACCAAATAAGTGATGTGATTGTAAAATCAAACTGAGACGTAACACATGTAGAATCATAGTAATAATTGCCCATCCGATAATAACATGAAAGTTTGATTGATAGTACTAAGTTGATAAATTTAAGAAAATGAAATTGCAAGATTGAAATGTATTTTGAAGATGGAAAAATAAATGAATCATAATATGTTTTCATCTTAAAAATAAGAAGTAATTTTTGGATGGCTATGAAAAGAAAAAATAAAAATAATTTTAGGGAAGACGTAGCGTGATATAAAAACGAAAATAACAATAAAAATTAGTATATGTGTATTCTTGTTACAAGTTTTTAACCGGTGGGCGTAGCTCAACTGGTAGCGAGGGAGTGCCACAAGGGTTAAGTCTCGGGTTCGAATCCCGGCAACTGCGATGAGAGGTTACTATGCTGAAAAATGCATAGGGCTTCTGCAAGTACCGGGGACAGAGCCCCACTCTCTATCTGTCAGATTGTGATTATAGTCCAATTTACATCCTCCCATCGTACCGCCCGGTCGGTGTTGGGGGGCCCTCAGGAATGGGGTGTCATCCTTTTTTTTTTTTGTTACAAGTTTTTAAAAACTTCTTTATTTATAACTAGGGGTGGGCGAATCGGTTTACGGTTCGGTTTTTATCGGTTTCGGTTCGGTTTCGGTTTATTCGGTTTGAGGAAAATAGTACCAAACTCAAACCAAAAGAATTTCGGTTTGGTTTCGGTTCGGTTTGGGAAAAATTCGGTTCGGTTCGGTTTGGTATTCGGTTTGATGTTCGGTTTATAAACTTGAAAATGATTATGTCTTGTTTCATACTTCCTCCGTTCTTAAATAAGTGCAACAGTCAACATTTCACACTTGTCGAGGCACAACTTTGACCATTAATATATATAATTCTCTATTAGTAAAAAAATTTAAAAAAATCAGTTTTTGAAAATTTACAATGAGACAAATTTAATAATATATTTTTCAAAAAATATATATTAATACATCAATAAATAACATGTAGTCAAAGTAGAACATGTGAATAGTGTAAAATTTCACATGTTGCACTTATTTAAGAACGGAGGTAGTATGTTACAATCCACTTTGAGTAAATGAGTAATTTTGAATGTTTTGTTTTCATTGAAATTCCAACTAAATGAAATACTAGAACCAGCCTTCACCAAATCAATTGAACAACCTGCCTTCACCTGCTTAAACAACCTGCCAATTGAAATTCCAACTAAATGAAATACTAGAACCTAACTTAAACAACCTGCCTTCACCTGCTAAACCAATTGAAACAAACTAAACCAAAGACTCACACAGAAATAGAAATAGAAATATAAATACAATTTGCTATTGATATCGCCAACCATAATAAATACAAATATGTCGTATTAGCTAACTTTGTCATAATGAATGTTTGAAATGTGTAAAAGTTAAAATAATACGAGTATATGCTTAAATATGCATTTTCATGTCTAAATTTTTTATTTATATCTTAAAATGAAGAGTGAAGATAAATACAAAGTGTGTGTGTGTTGTTCGGTTCGGTTCGGTTTTGTTCGGTTTTGTTCGGTTTTTATCGGTTTCGGTTCGGTTCGGTTCGGTTTAATACGGTTTGAAAGAAATAGTACCAAACTAAAACCAAATTGCATACGGTTCGGTTTCGGTTCGGTTTAGTTCGGTTTGGTACGGTTCGGTTCAGTTAAACCAAACCGTTATGCCCACCCCTATTTATAACATTAGATACGGGATAGATTTAATTACCACTATCATTACTAATTACTTTGAAAAGAAATTTATTTATTAAGAGGGAGATACATATATAGAAAAGTTCAATATATAACATTTAAGTCTCCAATTAAATGTATCTATCGTATCTCCAATTTTATATTTAAGTCTTTCACAAATAACTTTGATGTAGAATAAAACTATCTCTAACTTAGCCAATGGCCGGGTAGAACAATTTATTCCTACATAGAAACACACCAGACCAACCAATTCTGGTTAGCAACCAAGACTAATATATTTAGAAATCTGCCTAATATATATTTAAGAATCTGTCTAATATCTACTTAGGAATACTAATATTTTGTATTTTGGCAACTCCTCTGTTATAAATATATCTGTCAGGACTCGTACAAGCGTGATGGGATAACCCACAAGCATGGCGGAAGACGGGAGAGGAGATCGAACCGCAGCGAATTGTCAGCCCCTTCGCCGATGCTTGCATCGGTGAGTGTAGATAATCTGGCTTGATCTTATATATTGGTATGGAAATTTTTGTATTTCACCGTTAATAATTCTCCAGGGAGGAAGGGACGAAGAAGAAGGACAAGAAGAGGAAATCGCAGAAAGCAGAGAAAAATGAATGGGAGAAGGAAGAGACAGATAGAGGAAAATTGACTCAGCAGAAAGTGAAGGAGACGGAGAAGAGTCGCGTAGCAGAAGGGGTAGAGGCCACTCGTCGACGCTTAAGAGAAAGAGCTAATTCCGGCTTGAAGCTCTTCAACCGGGAGAACGGAACCTGTTTTGAGATGGCGGACTTGTTGAGTTGGAGCTTTCCGATTGGCAGATATCCTGACTTCCACAGACACATGAGCATCACTGCTAAGCTTCCCGAATGGGACTCTCCCAGGCGTTGTTTCCTTGAGATTAATGACAGTCCCCACCCAACACACTGTTTTATCGTTCAAGTTGATCCCGAAACAGCGAACAATTTCTGTTCTTGTTGTCACGTAGATTATAAGGTCCTGCATCCGCCCTCTGGTGGCTTTCGCATTGGATGGTTTGACTACCCAAAGGGTTTCACAGGACCTCGCTTCCCTCCAACAATGAGCGCAATGAGGAAATTCTTTTTCAAAAAGTCACGCTTCTAGTTACAGGAGCCTCAATCCTCGTTAATTTATGTTTGTACCTTAGTATTTATATATTTGTAACCTCCTCATAGCTCTGCTATTGTGCAAGCTCCTATTTATCTATTTTGTACTCCCCTCTTATCACTAAAAAAAAATATCTGTCAGGACTCCTATTAGAGTACCTCTTTCCCATTATTTCATCCCATTATTTCACGTGGTATCAAGAGCTCTAGGTTTGTAGATACAAATTTTTCTTTTTTTTCGGTTCCTATGAACCTTATTATAGCCGCCGCCGCCTCGGGGTCGACTGCCGCCACATTTACGGTAGTCTCTGATCCTTTGAAGATGAGCGTGGAAAATATGGCGCAGATCACCTCCTTCGCGTCGTTGAGCACGGTGCTTGCTTCCAGCGTGCCGTTGAGTTCGCCGCCTGTTGCTGCCTATGTCCGCGCAGCCCACCTCCTCTGCGTCGCTGACCACGGTGCTTGCTTCAAGCGCGCTGTTGAGTTCGCCGCTTGCTGCTGCAGACATATATTCTCATGGAGATCATATTATCAAAGATGTGCCTTCTAATCTTCCGCTCACGGATATATTTACTAAGAGTTTTTTAGTTTGCAATTTCATTTTTTAAAAGGCAACCTGCGCGTTGTATCTCCCGCACAGTTTGAGGGGGTGTAATAGACTAATATATTTAGGAATCTACCTAATATATATTTAAAAATCTGTCTAATATCTATTTAAGAATACGAATACTTTGTATTTTGGCAACTCCTCTATTATAAATATATAAAGAGATACTCCTATTGGAGTATCTCTTTCCCATTATTTCACACCAACCCCACGACTCCAATATCTCTTCGATACGAAATAGTTTCTTATAATGTTCACCTCTTTAATTATCGAATGTCTTGTGATGAATTTGTATTGTGATGATTTTATATTGCCTAAAGTAAATTTCCCATGCCGCCATTATATTTAAATTGATGACATGAACCACCAAGTAGTTATATAATCATAAAAATCATCGGCTCTTCACTTTTCTTTGCAATTTCCATTTTTTATTTTTTACATCAATGATATGTAGTACTTGTAACCCCTCGACATGCCTCGACAACGTCACTTTTAATAATTTAAAGTTTAAATTGTTCGCCAAATATAAACTTTTAATCTGTATCCATTTTCAAAACAAACTTTATAAAGTACTACGTATTTGATTAAATTTTAGTTATTTATTTGTTTTCTTCAAGTGGGCTATTAAAATGATGATTTTCCTTATTCTGGTGATAAAATAAACTTCCAATTAAATTAGTTAGCTTTGAGTTGAATTGAGATAATAAGATGGGTGACCAGGTTGTTCCAAAATTTGACTCTTAGGTTACAATGAGGAGGTTCTTTGTAAAAGAATTAAACTTTACAACATTGAAAAATTATTACAATTGGATTTGAAAAACGTAACACATATACAATACAATCATGCATGAATTGTATATGAATTTTATGAATGCATATTTGGATAGAGAAATTATTTATGTTCTTACAATTTATTTGCTTGAACGTTATTTAGGATTTGAGTATTTAGGATTCTGGTTATATTTGGATACATATTTGTAAATGATTACTACTATACTACTATTAACACGTTATTGTTTAGGTGTAGGGATTTGAGTATTTACGATTAGAATCGTTTTGGGTTGTGTTCCAAAACATTATAGGCTACTTATATTTAACAAGGCATTTTTTTAACATCAAACTAAAACGTATATATTTTTATACGAATGTTGCATGACAAAAGACTATATGGAAGAATTATTGCCATATTGGGGATCTAATTTTCTTAACGGTAAGAAAAATGTCTTTTTAGGTCTCAATTAAAACTGAGTTACTCCCCCGTCCCGAATTATAAGGCAATTTACGGTTTACGATGTTTGACCGACGATAAAGGAAACAGATCCCTATCCGCACTCAATTTTTTTTAGAAAAAAACATATTCAGAAACTATATTAAAAGTTTTACATAGTCGCAAAAACCGGAATCAAATTTGATAAAAATTAAATATATAAAGTAAGAGATTAAGAGTGATTTGTGTTGTTGAAGTGAATAGGAAAATTATCTTAGCTTACAAAATGGGACTGATGGAGTATTAGAATATAAAACTAATGGGTTTGGCAATAGAAAAAAGTAGTTACAATTGAATTACCTTTACAAAACAATCATCATAATAAATATAGTATCTTGTGGTCTTTGAAGAATATGCAAAGAAAAAGTAAGAGCAAAAAATTTAAAAAAAACCAGATCACATTAATGGTAACTTGTCATCTATTAATATCTAAAAGCAAAATGTTTTTGGGGTGGATTTTCCCCCTCAAAAACGTCACTTTCAGTTCTTTGTTGTGCATTGCTCTTTGGGCCGAGGATGGAGTGGGTCTGTTGTGCAAAAAGTCTTAAATTAGGCCCATTCGTACGAGCATTTTGGGTGAAACGAATGGATGGAATGATTTCTGACACTATAGATTTTTTTTCGGATTTCCAGCCAGTGTGCCAGATTTTCATTGGTAGGGTTTTTTGGTGAACAGTTCAATTAGTACAACATTATTGCTTCAAGTGGCTGAGGGGTACGGAGAATATGGGTTCTGATTTGTTTTCACTATTCGGAATTCAAATTTTGAAATATCCCCCCCCCCCCCCAATCTCAAACAATCTGATTGGTTCACAGAAAAGTGCAGTGTCCGGGTTTTACTAGGCTGACCAGTTACGGGCCTATAAAAGCTGGCACACAGCTGCTCCAACATCACTCAAAATTAGCACAAATCATAAAAGCAAAATAAGTTTTCTCTTGGCATGTGATCCCCATTCCCTGTGATAGGCTATAGCAAAACCACTTGAGTCAGTGGAGATCATCTTTCATGACGCGAGGTTTGAGTGTATTAAGATACACTTTTGTAAATTGATTCATTTACTTTCATGAAAAATGATTTAATTTTGTGCAGTTTTCAACTTCAGGGCTCCAAATTGCATGCACACATTGAGGACCAATTATCAACAAGTTCATCAGGATTGAAGGAGGGTCGAGTATTCTATTCATGAAAGGGTTGAAGTATCATGCATCATGTATAAAATAAATATATGTGTGAGAAACAAGACCATGTACTGTATTTGATAAAATTTGTGTTTATTAAAAGTGGTGGTTTTACTATTATACATGTAAAGCATACGTTTTTAATTTATGTATTGAACAAATAAAATCAATTCAAGACAAGCATCTCATCATAAGGTCATGAATGACTTTCTCTACTTATATGTGAGAAATATTTTATGCATCAAAGAGAGTTTAGTGCACTGGGAATATGCATCATGTGAGTGAAAAAAATACAATAGTTGTGTGATGAAATGTTAGTTTTAGTGCACTGAATGTAATTGACAAAATCCAGTTTTGTGAAGTGCGTGGGTTTTACTATTGTACATGCAAGGCATACGTTATTATGCATTAAACGAATAAGAACATTTTAAGATAAGTTTGTTCAATTTTTTTTTTTGGACAAGACAAGATTATGCCTTTGCTTTCGTGTATTAGTCCCAATGTAACCTTGACCATTGGATTTTGAAAAGGGCAGGTTATCAATTCATTGTTTTAAAATATGATTTTTTAAATATCTCCATGATATTATATTATTATTTCACATGCAAGCCCAATGTGTCCTATTTTCCTTTTTGAGAATAAAATATATTTAAGTAAAATATATTTAAGTTTGGCCTAGAGAAATAAATTCATTGTGATAGCAATAGAAAGGTATACCTGTTACCTGCTCAGGTTGAGCCTGCCGAGACCTAAATCTAAACTATATCTAATTATTACATTTAGAGACCCAAAAAAAAAATCAATGTAACAATGATTCTTCCGGACCGAGTTCTTCTAGGCATAAAGGGATTCCCTGCATTTTCAAAGTTTGTTATCAGGTTAGACATCATCACCACTACATATCTGCCTGTTTTGCGAAATTTTGAATTATGAAGAACTTCATTCATTCATTAAAGTAGAATTCCAGAGTAAGTTTTTCTAAAGGGCAGTTATGGAATCCCTTTAGGGGGTGTGCACACTTAAGGTAGAAGTCTAGATTCTAATAGAGGAGATGAGGTACCGAGAGTAGATCGGAGTGACCGTACAAAACAACGGATCACTGGGCTCAAGAATCGAGATAACGCTTGAGCACCGCCCTTCTAACTAAATAATTAGGAAAATTGGCTATAAAGCTATTTTGAGGAAAAATAAAATATTTTGGTACTTGGAGAATTATTGAAGAAAATCTTTTGGAGATATTATTACTCTTTTTGAAATTAATGGAAACTCATTTTGTATATACTATATACAAATACTTATTTTTAAACAAAACTATTATTTTACGGGGTTGGGTGGGCTTACTTAGCTCTAAAGCTAATTTTTGTGTTATTTGTTTCTTTTATTTTCTTATGTTACAGATGATGTGGTTTATGAAGACTGATGCACTGAGAGCGCTCCTAGAAGATTTTTAGAGTAGTCTCATTTAGAATGAACCTTGTTAGATTTCATGATTTCAAATGTTGAATTTAATAATTACTTTAGATACATTTACGGTGGATAGCCTTAGCATCCAGTCGGTTTAGGGCTGGGTGTGGCGGTAACACACCCCTTTTCCCTATTATTGTTTAATTCCGCTGCAAACAATTCAGAGTTTTGAATAATTAATAAAAGTTTATTATTTCTTAAGTATTATTTTGGGAGGGAAATTTGGGGGTGTTACAAGTTGGTATCAGAGACAGGTTTTCTGAAAGGATTAGGACACGAGGTAATAGGTCGTAGGGAGGAATTCTGTCAACGAGACGATAAGAGTCTGAGCTGGTTGGTGCATAATTGAGCCTTTGCGCTCGTCCAACTAACTGGGAATTTCTCCTTGTGCTGAAACTTCGTTGTTCGAAACCCTTGAATAAAACCTTCGGAATCATACCTTCAAATGGGGATTTTCAAAATATTTTGACTAGGGAAAATAAGATAGCTAGGAAATGGCCTTTAGGAACGTGGTGAGGACTATGTGAGTATTACTTTTATGTTATATATAGTTTGTGAAAAATAAAGAATTGTGGGCCCATATGTGAAATGGGAACCCCAAGTGTTAAAGG